ATATTAGAGATGTAATATTAGAGGAGTACAGAATATCCCTATTGGGTTATTGGCTATCAAAAGAGCAATCAATATTGAAGGAAGTAAACTAGGGTGAACATGAAAGGCAAGGGTGGTGAGACTTCATCTCACATACTTTGGGCATGTTGTCAGGAGGGGCCAATCTTTGGGGGGAGGAATGACCTGGGAATGGAGAAGGGTCAGAGAAAGAGAGGAAGACCCTCAGAGACACAGTGGCTGTGAAAAAGACATCAGTGTATCACAGACCATGAGGAGGTCACAGGAGAGAGCAGGGTTCTGAGCTGCTGCTCACAGACTTGCTGTAAGTCATAGTCAATGGGATGACACCCAACAACACAATCGGTTGTCCAAACTTCCAGTTTGGTCAATGTTTCTAACAAGTACAGAGGTGTGTCCTAGCTCCATACCTTTTCAATCTATATATGGGACAGATCATTTGTGAGGCTGGACTTTATGAAGAAGAATGTGGCATCAGGCTTGGAGGAAGACTCATCAACGACCTGTGTTATGCAGATGTCACAACTTTACTCCTGAAACTGAGGAGGACCTAAAGAGTTGACTGCAGAAAATGAAGGACGACAGTTGTCAATACGGATTGAAGCTCAACATCAAGAAAATAAGGTTCTCACCCTTGGGCCAACTGGCAGCACCATGATAGACGGAGAAGAGATTGAGGTTGTTAATGATTACAGCTTGCTCGGCTCCACAATCAACACTCCTGGCACCAGCAGCCACAGGATATCAAAGTACGAACTGCTTTACGAATGTCTGCTGTCAGGGCCCTCTCCAGAGTAGTAAGAAGCAATGATGTCAGTCTAGAGACTAAGGTGCTCCTGATCCAAGTGGTGGTCTTCTCAATGCATCAGAGAGCTGGACAATGACACCTTCCCCAGAGGGCATAGGACAGTGACGCGCAGGTAAAGGACCAGCCCGCATCTCTGTGAGAGCATGCACATGGTCCTCTGTCCACCAGGCAGTCCTGTCACCAACTCCAGAAGCCACATCTCCGAGAGAACAAAGGACGAGCACAGTGGAAACCAGAGACCCTGTTCTTGCTGACTGCCACGACCTGAGCTTAGCACCTAGTGATGACCAGCCTCATGCCAAGAGAACCTGGGTGGAGGCCGATTGCCATGGACCTTCACACTGGGCCAGAGAACTGAGGACAGACAGACATTGGGTGACAGAAGACAGCTGTGACTGGAGGAGGTCGGTCTCCCAGCACAGATCACACTGGGCGTGCGCCCGGTCTATCTCCTGAGCACGGAGGGCTGTGGTGCCACCTCAGGGAAAGCTGTGCAGCTGTGTCAAAGTACGCGGCATTTCAAGAAACAGCCCAGCTTCTAGAAACCCAACACACAGCTTTTCTGTCTTAATTTAACTTGGAACGCTGCACTATGACCTGGAGGACTCGGGTGTCCCCATGCCGAGGACAGCGGACCCCCAACAGTAGAGCCTTTCTAAAGCAGCCACCCCACTTCTGTCTCTCCTCACATCATTTTACCTGGAGAAAAACTTTTACTGGATACAGGAAGGTCAGCCTAAAAATAAAGGAAGCTTCTCCTCCTCAAAAAAAAAAAGCAGCAAGATTCTGAGGGCAACATCCACTGGCAAGCACCACTAAACCTTGATGCTACAAGAAGAGGCTCGAGGGAATGCAGCCCACTGCGTGCCACAGAGCCAGAGAAGAGAACTGGGTCCCCACGGACCACAAGGAGAACAAACAAGGCTGTTCTGACACAATGCACCCCACTGGGTGCCACAGAGCCAAAGAAGAGAACTGGGTCCCAATGGACCGCGGGAAGGACAAAGGAGGTGGTCCTGGAACAATGCACCCCAGTGCGTGCCACAGAGCCAGAGAAGAGGACTGGGTCCCCAAGGACCGCGTGGAGAACAAGGGTGTCCTGGCACAAGTGCAAGTGGGCTGCCCCTGAAAGTCAAGGCTGGTGACACTGGGCCTCACCTCCTTTGGGCACGCTGTCAGGAGTGGCCAGTACTTATAAAAAAGACATCATGCCGTAAAGGTCGAGGGTCAGAGAAAGACAGGAAGACCCCCAACAAGATGGACTAACATAGTGCCTGCAGCAAAGGGCTCACGTGTGTCAGAGTCTGGGAGGACGGCGCAGGTAGAGCAGCGTTCTGATCCGGTCACGTGCTCACTACGAAGCCTCGTGACCCAACAGTAACAACCAACAGCGCCTAACCACAGCAGTTTATTACAGATACATTTATCACAGATCCCAGGGCAGGCTGAACATGCACAGAAAGTCATCGCCAGGCAAGCTTCCTGGAACTGATATGCACATATATGCCGCCTCGGTTCTCTTCTCCAGCAGGACTGGCTGTCTACTTCGGACATAATGGTCCCTGAAAAACCCTGTGAATGGCACAGAGATGCTGCGACCAGAATACAAACCACCATGATAACAGACTCTCCCGCACCTAGGAAGAGACTCAGCGAAATTAGACTTGTCGATGCCAATCCTGCTTTCTCAGGGACACATTCCCACATCAATGCCAAGAAACTGGAAAAACAGCTCCCTGGCCAAATGACTGAAACAGATCCACACTGGTGCTCATTTTAAAAAAGGTAACTTAATAGAATATTGACATTATAGAATGGTACCATTAATATCACAAGAAAGTAAAATGTTGCTGGAGATTATTCAAAAAGGGCTGGAGCAAAGGGAACTGCCAGAAATTCAAGCTAGATACAGAAGAGATCATGGCACAAAGGCCATTGCTGCTGATGTTAAACGGATCTTGGCTGAAAGCAGAGATACCAGAAAGATGTTTATGTGCGTTATATTGACGAGGCAAAGGTATCAGACTACGTGGATCATTATGAATTATGAATAGCATAAAAAAAAAAGAATGGGCATTCCAGAACATTCAACTGTGCTCATGCAGCATCTATCCATAGAAACACAAGCAGTCATTTGTGCAGAACAAGGGGACACTGCGTGGTTTAAGGTCAGGGAAGGCGTGTCAGGGTCTCTATCCTCTCTCTGTACACATTCTATCTGTACACTGAACAAATACTTCACAAGCTGGACTAGATAAAGACGGACGTGGCATCAGGATTGGAGAAGGCTCATCAACAACTGAATCAGAAGCTGATAGACTTTGTCTGTAGAAAGTGAAGAAGACTTGAGGCCTTCAATATGGATTATATCTCAGCATCGAGAAGATAAAAGTCCTCATCACTGGACCGACTGGTAATGTCATCATAGATAAAAGAAGGGGTCTAGTTTGTCAATTCATTTTACTTGGACCCACAATCAACACTCATGGCCAAGAAATCAAAAGACAAATTGCATTGGGGAAATTTGTTGTCAAGAGCTAACAAGGAAAGATGTTCCTTTAAGGACTAAGAAATGCCTGACTCAAGTGATGGAAATTTCAACAGGACATAATGCAGAGACATAAAGCACAGGAGCAGTGAAAAAGAGAAGATCCTGAATGAGATGGATTGACTCAGTGACTGTAACAATGTAACAATGTAACAAAGCACCAGTCTGTGAAGGTGGCACAGGACAGGGCTACCATGAATCACAGGTGACTCGATGGCACCTGACAAGAACAACAAGACCCTGCTGGCCTAGTCTACCACTTGTTGGGCTGCTAAACCAGAAGTAAGCGGTTTGAATCCTCTTAGAGAAGGAAAGATGGAGCAGTCTGCATCATCAGCCACTCACAGCCTCACAGCCTCAGAAGAAGGGCGGAGGCTCGCCTGAGTCAGAAGCGACTGGACAGCAGTGGTTTGGCTGATGTGTTGTCATTTCAGTGAGTCGTTTCCAACTCCACGTGACCCTGCAGGCCCAGCAGACCTGCGTCACTGGGTTTCAGGCTGCAGACCTTTGGCATCTTCCTCTCTGAGCAATGGATGGGCTTAAACCCCTGAACTTCAGGCCAGCAGCTAAGGGCTTCACTACTGCACCCCCAGGACTCCCTGCGCTCCAGCAAACACAGGTGTAAGATGGCACACACCGTGTGTGATGGGAAAGGGGGGCTGAGCTACCACGGCAGGGCCGTGCAGGAGAACAGAAAGAACAAGCCCACGGCCTGGCCCAGCACTCCACTGGCGGCTCCGCTGAAGACTCTCTGAGAGAAAAAGAAATTAATAGTAATTCACAAGAAGATCTGGTATCTCAGACTTCACGCGAGAGTAGGTGTTAAACACAAAAAAGTCTTTTTATGATGACTATGTGTCCAGGTGTGAACAATGCTTTCAAAACAAAGAGTAATAAAAATAAATAATGAAGCTAATAAAACGTATCTCTTCTATGAAACCTACCAGGAGTATTAATTCTGTGATGCTGCCCCATTGTTAATTCCTTCCCCCCCCCATCCTGTGTGTGCCATCTACTCGGATCTGAATGGCACAGGAGGAGATTGCCTCTCCTTCTCCAGTGGAGAATCAGGTGGATTCAAACGCCCTGCTTTTGGGATCGCAGGGCAGCTTTTTTCCACTAGGCCACCCGAGCTCCTTCCATAGTTAACTCTTCTTTCTCAGCATTCTGAGAGGCTGGGACATTGCCATGGCAACACACTCCAGCCACATCTTCTTTCTCCCTTTACACATCTGGTTACCTGTCCACGTCTCACTACCGGACACTGGGCAGGCGTGGTCTCTGGATGGCTTCCACGGCCCCATGTGCCAAACACTGTGACACCTGAACAAAGGCTTGGTTTCTACCCAGGGTTAGTCTTCATGCCCGAGTTCTGAAGATGCCTCCTCTTAAGTCTGCCCTGGGGGTCTGTGCTATGGAAACCACATCGATCACACAAGTTAAGGGGAAGCAGCGGTGGGGTCCTTTGATAATTCACGGACGGAACGCTGCACTTTGGTGTGCTGCACGCTGGATGCTTGATGGTCATGTCAGTCAGCCCCAAAGGAAGAGGGAAGAGAGAGGGTGGAGAATAAAGGAAGGAAGAGAGAGGGAGGGCAGAGCATCAAGAAATCTAATGAAGGTTACCTTTGCTCCAGAGATGGCGAAAACACTTGTGCAAGGGCTGATTGAGAATCAGAAGGCAGTACTTCAAATTCCCTACAGGAATAAAGAGAATGAAAAGAAAGTAAATGGGAGGGTGAGGTCTCTGCTCCCCTCATCTTGTTCCAGAACCTTATTCTGCCCTCCTGGTTCAGAATCCCCACGTACACAGTGACGGTTCAACCACAGTGCATTTCTGGTACCTTGATTTTAAACGATGCTGTAGAAGACCGAAGTCAACCTACCTGCCCGCACGCACACCCTCCATCCCACAGCCACAACCACCCAGTGGCTTCCAGCTCACAAGGAGCCACGTGGTGCCCAGCACATGCTGTCAGGTGGTGCCCGGAACATGCCGTCAGGTGGTGCCTAGAACAGGCCATCAGGCGGTGCCCGGAACAGGCCGTCAGGCGGTGACAAGAACACACCATCAGGCGGCCGAGAGTCCTTGTGGGTTCTGAGTGAGCACACACCCTCTCAGTTATAGAAAAGACTGGTGAATAAGAGAACAAAATAATCTCCGATGAATGATCATCATTCTCACCACTAAAAATGAAAGGAGACAATGCACCGAGAAGCAATGCCAGTGCCCACGTCGTTACTGGTGACCCACCAGCCCTGAGAGCAGCGAGGAACACAAACCCGCATGTGGAGAGGCCGGGGACCGGCCAGAGTCCAAGAGGCCTGCCGCTGTCCTAGCCCTGGGCGTGGAATGTGCACTTTGGAGCTCTCTCTCTCCTTCTCTGACCCTCCACCTTTCCCAGCACGATGTCTTTTTCCAAGGTCTTGCCCCTCCTGACAATATGTCCAAAGTATGTGATCTCAAGCTTCACATCCCTCGAGTCAAGAAGACTCACTATAGTCACTGTGTCAACCCACTTCACTGATTTCTCTCTTTCACTAACCCCACACCTTCCCAAGCATGACATCCCTCTCCAAGAAAAGCTTCTCCTCGCTACATGCCCAAAGTATGTGAGAGGAGGCTTCACCGCCCTTGCCTCCAAGGAGCACTCCGGCTGCACTTTCCCGAGTAATTTCGGCTTGTTCCTTTGGCTTGCCGTAGGATGTTTAGTACTTTCCACCAACACCACAACTCAAATCAGTTCTTCTGCCACTTGTGCTTCTTCTAGCTCTCATATGTGTAGCAAGTGACTGAAAAGACCATGTCCCGAATCAGGTGCACCTTAGTCTTCAAATGGACACCATTGCTCTTCACTATTTTGGAGAAGTCCTTGACAGAGGAATTGCCCAAAGCAATGTGCCTCCTGATTCCTGACGGCTGGTACCAAGAGTGTTGACTGCAGATCCAAGTAAGATGAAACTGCTGACAGTTTCAATTTTTTCTCCACGTATCATGATGTTGCCTATTGGCTCAGGGGTAAGAACCTTTTTCTTCTTGATGCTGAGATGCAATCATACCGAAGACTATAGTCTTTGTTGCTTCAAGTCCTCCTCACTTTGGGCAAGCATCACAGGTGAGGATTAAAACACAACATACAGGATAATGACACCAGATCATAACCTGGTGCTAACTACCTATCAGTGGAATCCCAGCCTTGCCAGTTAGACAGAGCCTTTCTTGGTGGACCCAGTATAAGCCTTAGGGGAGAGGATCAGTAATTTTTTTAAAAAGAAATTATTTTTCATGGAGCTCTGGTGACCTAGTCGCTGCACTGCAATCCCAGAGGTTCGCGGTTCAAATCCAACAGATGTTCTGCTGGAGAAGGAGGGGGCAATCTCCTCCTCTACTAGTCAGATCTGATTTGACGGTACACATAAAAATAATACAGTAAAAAAAAAAATTAAAAACAACAACAAAGAAATTCTTTTTCATGTTCAGGTGATGGTGTATAATGCTGCTATGAACAGTGGTGTACAAATATCCATTTGTATCTCAGTTCTAATTTCCTTGGAACAGCTGGGTCATACGGAGTTTCTATGTCAACTTTTTAAGGCAATGTTAAACTGTCTTCCTGAGTGGTTGTACCATTTTACAATCCCACCAACAGCGTATGAGAGTTCCCACCTCTCCACATCCTCTCCAACATTTGTTGCTTGCTGTCCTACTAAATTTTGCAACTAGCTATTGAGGTAAGATGGTATCTCACTGTGGTTTTGATTTGCATTTCTCTTTTGCCAGTGATTTTGAGCATTTCTTCATTGTCTGTTGGTCACCTGAATGTCTTCCTCAGTGAAAAGTCTTTCCATGTCTTTTATCCATTTTATCAGTCAGCCAAAATGCCCAACCACAACCAAATGGATTGAGAAATTATGGTACAAAATGTAAAACTATGCAGCATGCAGGAACAACAATTTTGCAAAATTTTTAAAAATACTATGTAACCTGAGAGAGACTGGAAAGCATTATGCTGAGTGAACTAACACAGTCTCATAAGGACAGATACTACAAAATACTGTAATTGTAAAAACAGAAAAATAACTAGTAACACATGTACAGGAACTCAAGGGAGGGAGGGGGAACAAAGGGAGTAGGATGGATAGGGAAGAAATCTCAGGGTGGCAGTTTGGTGCATGGAGGGGGAAGCAAATGGGAAGGATCTGAGCAAAAAGACAGGGTATAGATGGGCAAGGTCCAATGGTGATTGATTTTATAAAACATAATGCTGGATAAGAGTATTGAATATACCATGGACTGCTAGAAGAACAAACAGGTTCGTCCTGGAGAGGGTGAAACCGAGCTGCTCCTTGGAGGCAAGGATTCTGAGGCTCTGTCTAACATACTTTGGACATGTTGTAAGGAGGGCTCAGTCCTTGGAGAAGGATGCCATGCTTGGGAGGGTAGAGGGACAGCACAGGAGAGGAAGACCCTCGATGAGATGGACTGACTCAGTGGCTGGGGTAATTGGGGTAGATGTGTCAGAGACAATAAGATTGACACAGGATAGAGCAGGGTTTAGGGTCACTGTGAGTCGAGGTAATTCAATAGCATATAACAACAACAATGCATGAAAATGATTGTATGAAACATAATGTGAATGAAAAATAATGTGAAACAGTGTATATAAACTTTGTAAGCAAACAAATTTTAAAAAATGTAAATAGTAATAATCAAGAAGTTAACATCCAGTATCTGGCAGATAACAGGCAGCAAATTCCCCACTGGCCACAAAGCAGACCTGGGCCACCCCATAACTGAGGGCCCAGGACCAGGGGCACCTACCCACTCCCTGCACCTGCAGCATGTCCACATGGCCTGACATTAACCCTGCCCACCCCATAACTGAGGGCCCAGGACCAGGGGCACCTACCCACTCCCTGCACCTGCAGCATATCCACATGGCCTGACATTAACCCTGCCCAGCAAAGAAACAACAGAAGACTTCGTTTTATAAAACTCTTACACTGTACCAGTCAGATCTGATTTGACGGTACACGCACACAAAATTAAAAAAACAACAACAACAACAACAAAAAACTTGTGCAACAAACTACCTCTGAAAACCTACTGCAGAGTCAGCTTGGGTTGGTTCCGATGCGATGGCACACAACAACAACAGTGTGGTGCCTTATGTGTTGAGCTGCTAATGAAAGCGTCAGCAGTTCAAATTCACCATCAGAAGAAAGTCGAGACAATCTCTTTCCACAAAGATTTACATCCTGGAAACCTGATGGTGGTCTACACGAGTCAGAATCAACTTGAAGGTGCAGAGTTTTGTGTGGCTTTGATTTCCTATGCCGGAATCAATGCCACTGGATTCCAAACGCTAATAGAGTTACCACCCAAGATGGATCAATTTTAGCAGACTTCCTACACACTAAGCCAGATTAAGAAGAGAGGCCTGGTGATCTATTTCAAAATAGCAAATAAAAACCCTATAAAACAACAACAAAAAACAAACAAACAAACACAAAAAATACTCTTACAAAATGGGGAAACAGAAGCATCATCATGCAAGACAGTGTCTGGTTCGGGCACTTCACCTTCCTCTCATAACCAGCTCTCTTTAGGAATGCATATTATTAGGGAGCTCTGGTGGTCTAGTGGCAAGAAGCTGCACTGCAATCCCAGAGGTACATGGTTTGAATCCACCAGATGCTGTGCTGGAGAAGGAGGGGCAATCTCCTCCTTATACCAGTCAGATCTGATTTGACGGTACATATAGAAATAATAAAATAAATTTTAAAAAAAGAATGCATATTATTCTTGTTGTTTATGTGCGGGGGAGTCTGGTAGCTCTCCCTCCAGCAGGTTTTCAGAGACTGTAACTGCATGGGAAGAGATTGCCCATCTTTTCACAGGTCTTGATTCAAACCATTTTTGTTTGGATTGGCAGAGCAACTCCACTCCTTACTCCCTAGACCATCAAGGCTGCCTATGATACACTACAAGCAAAAATACAAACTAACCGTCCTGACAATGTAGCCAAGAACAAAGTATGTGCAATAAATCTTAAAATAGTGGAGACAGACTGAGCACAAGCAGAGCAGAGAGCATAATACATTGTAACACAGTGCAGAGTTCGTCTTACCTCACCCTTTTTAATTGCTCTTTTGTGAAGAGATTCTATGTGAAGTCAGGCAGTGACCACGGGGTGTATAAATTTTTATAAACAAACATGTGAGCTGCTTCTTTAACTAATGCAGTATGAGATCAGAAAAAAAAGACTGTGAAGTCTAGCATCTAAATGAAAAGATTTTAAAATAAAACACAACAGAATTTAATAAAAGGAAAACCACTAATATTCATTGACAGTTGGTCAAAAGCATATATTTTCATTAAAAAAATGCTGGAACCCAGATAAAATCAATATTGGTGGAAACACATGCCTGCCATTCTAGCAGCGATCCAGAGACCCAGACCATTACCATGAGTCTCTCATCCCTGAAAAGCCTCCCACCCAACCCCGGAGGCTCCAGGGCCCCGTGCTGCATCTCCAGGCCCAAAGACGTCTAGATTTAACAGCAGGTTTTTTTCAAAGTGTGCACAGGGAAATCAAAACTGTCAAGTCAATTCGTTCGGGGAGGAAATAAATTGCATGTGGACAAAGCAGAAGTATTAAAAGGCTCTGAACAAACATCTCATACCAAAGTCTATTAAAATAATTGAATTACTGGTGGCCTAAGCGGCCCTGGGAAGCACAGGAG